GAATATCTAGGTGTAGCAAAGGGCGTACTTGCTCAGACTTTGGGCCCGTGGAAGAGACCAGTGGCCTACATCTCAAAGAAATTAGACTCAATGACAGCCGGATGGCCAGCCTGTCTGAAGATTATAGCAGCCACGGTGGTCCTGGTTAAAGATGCTGATAAGCTCACCTTGGGGCAACAACTGATTGTGACTACCTCCCATGCTACTGAAGGGGTATTGAGGGCCCCACCTGATCACTGGCTCACAAACGCAAGACTAACTCATTACCAGTCTCTCCTACTAGACATGCCCCGCCTGACATATGTAGTGACCAGTGCCTTAAACCCTGCATCCCTGCTCCCTGAGACTGAGTCTGAGAAAACTGTGCATCACGATTATTCTGAATTGCTGCAGGATGTCCAGGGAAGCTGACCTGATCTCACCAACATACCATGGAAGAACTCTGACTTGGAGATGTACACAGATGGGAGTAGTTACATAAAAGATGGAGTCAGGTATGCAGGGGCAGCAGTAGTCACTCAGAAGAATGTTCTATGGGCGGAAGCCCTGCCAAAAGGAACCTCTGCACAAAAGGCCGAACTGATAGCCTTGATTCAGGCACTAAGACTGGGAGAGGGTAACACTGTCAACATTTACACTGACAGTAGATATGCTTTTGCCACTGTTCATGTACATGGAGCCATCTATTGATAAAAAGGTCTCCTGACATCAGAAGGACTATCAAAAACAAACAAGAGAGCGTTGATTTGTTAAAAGTCATATGGGCACTTGGGAGGCAGAGGCTGGAGGATCTCTGTGAGTTCAAGGCCAGCCTGGTCTACATAGTGAGTTCCAGGACAGCTGGGGCTACAGGGAGACCCTGTCTCAAAAAGACCAAACATCAGAAAGAAAGACAATTAAACACAACAAGAGATTTGTTAAGGGTCATATGGATGCCCAAAAGGGTGGCAGTCATTCGTTGCCCAGGACACCAAAAGAACAACACACCTGAGGCCCGAGGAAACCAAAAGGCGGATCAAGTTGCCAAGTGTCCAAACCTGCACTTCTAGCCCTGCCAGATCCTACATTACCTGAAAAGCCTTCATACACAGAAGAGGATGACAAATATTTCCAGACAATTCCAAATGGGTACATCTTCTCAGGATGGAGACACACTGCAGATGACAAGGTCATCCTCCCCCGCCACCTGGGGGAATGCTAGTTCGTCAGCTCCATGAAGGAATCCACATGGGAAAAGATCAGGTTATTACTAACCAGATGCTTCCAGTTTCCTTCCTCAACAGCTACAATACAGGACATCCCCTCCAGATGTATGGCATGCCAGATGACTAATGCCTACCAGAAAAACGATAAATCCTCAGGAAGACATGAAAGAGGAACTTCCCCCGGAGTCCACTGGGAGGTAGACTTCACTGAGGTAAAGCCGGGACATTTTGGATATAAATATTTACTGGGTTTTGTAGACACTTTTTCCGGGATGGGTAGAAGCCTTTCCCACCAAGAAGGAGACAGCGACCACAGTTGCCAACAAGTTATTGGATGAACTCATTCCCAGGTTTGGTGTGCCCTTAATGTTAGGATCTGACAATGGACCGGCAATCATCTCTCAGGCAATACAGGCCTTAACAATGGCCCTGGGGACAAATTGGAAACTACATTGTCCATACCATTCCCAGAGTTCAGGACAGGTAGAAAGAATAAATTGGACCATGAAGGAAACCTTGACTAAATTAACCCTAGAATCTGGTGCAGACTGGGTGACTCTCCTCCCTTTTGCCCTCCTGAGGGTTAGAAACTCCCCCTATATCCAGGAAATAACTCCTTTTGAGATTCTTTTCAGAAGATCCCCCTCCCCTGGTCCCAAAGATTAAAGTCAAAACTGTTGGCTGAAATACCTAATCATGAAATCCTCCAGTCTATTAGGGCATTACAGGCTGTGCAGGAGCACCTCCATCCCCTGATCCAACATGTGCATGAACTGCCTCCAGCTACTCGACATCCTCACCGACCTGGAGACATTGTCTGAATAAAATGACATCAGGAGACATTGGCCCCTTGATGGAAAGGACCATTCACTGTGATCCTGATGACTCCCACAGCAATGAAGGGGCACAGATTGCGCACCTGGATTCATCACTGCTCTGGCCGGTCCCCTCTTAATCCTTATAGAATTGTTAACCTTTGGACCCTGTATCTTTAATGCTCTAGTCAAATTTGTTAAAGAAAGGGTCTCCGCTGTACAACTGATGGTTTTGAGGGCCCAGTGCTATCCCCCAGATGACATATATGAATCAATGAGGGCCCATTATAACCCCTTAGACAACATATATGAATCAATGGTTTGATTAAAAAAGATTTCCAAAAACAAAAGGGGGGAAGGAAGGACAGTGTCCCTCAGACCCCCTCCCTATCCTCTGAGAAAAAGCTGCCCTCCACCTGACTCTGGAAATCCCCTTCATTGTTCAAACCCTTTTCTGTATCTGTTTATGATTTCTATGGAAATGGTCTGGGGCAGAAGAGATAGAACGCTCTGCCTCAGGTAAGCTAGCCAATGGCAGTATACCTAATATATCTGTGTATGGTTTCTATGGGAATAATCTGGGGCAGAAGAGAAAGAACATTCTGCCCCAGGTAAGACAGCCAATGGCTGTATAGGTAGTCTCTGGAAATCAGCCCTAGATTGTTCCAATCCTTTCCTGGTTATTCTGTGTATAGTTTCTATGGACATCCAATGCTTTTTGGTTTTTCTGCTTTTTTAAAAGCCCTGCATTTTCACTGCTCAGGGTCGCAGTACAGCTCCCGCAGTACAGCTCCCTAGACTGTCTGTGTCCCCAACCGGTTGGCTCCAATAAAGCGCTCCTTTTTACTGAGTCTCAGTGTCCGAGTGGTCAATTTAGGGAATTTTTATGGACCCCGAACATATTTTCATTCAATTCAGTCCATATTCATATCATGTCAATTACCTGCATTAGGTCTATTAGTGCCATTTAAAAAAATTAATCCCAGGATCCTGTATTGCATGCAGTCATCATGTATCTTTAGTTTCCTTAGATACAGAACACTTCCTTAGTGTTTGTATTTTATGAACTTTATTTTATTTTGGAGACAGGGTCTCATGTAGCCCGGGATTGGACTTTCTATGTAGCCAATGATGACCTTGAATTCCTGATCCTCCTGCCTCCACCTCCCAAGTGCTGGGATTATAGGGCACCCACACTTGTTCAATCTTTATTTATATGTGTCTGTGTGGTGTATATATGTCTGCATGTCTGTGTATTATATTAATTTGTTTATGTGAATGTGGTGTGCGCTTGTGCAGGTGCACTCATCCATATAAGCATGTCTGGAGGTCAGAGGTTGACACTGGGATGTCTTTCCTGAATTATTTCTCCAATTAATTAATTAATTTTGAGATAGAGTCTGAATTTGAAGCTGAAGTTTTGGCTAGACTGATAGGCTATCGAGACCCTGAGATCCTCCTGTCTACACTCATCAGTGCTGAGGTTTCAGGCACTCACTGACTTGCCCAGATTTTGTGTGAGTTCTGGAGATCTGAACTTGGATCCTCATGCTTATGTAGCAAGCACTGAGCCATCTCCACAGCCTAATCTTGATATTTTTTTCTTTTTTTGAGACAGGGTCTCTGTGTAGTTCTAGCTGGCCTAGAATTCACTATGTAGATCAGATTGGCCTTCATCTCACAGAGATTTACCTACCTCTGCCTCTGGAGTGCTAGGATTAAAGGCCTGCATCACTACAGATCTGGCTTATTCTTGACATTTTAAAAGATTTTTTTGTAGAGTGTTCCTCTATTTGGTTTGATCTGATATCTGCCCTTGGTCAAGTTAAGTTATGCATTTTTTACTGAAATATTATAAAACAATATTGAATTCTCAATGCACAAGTAAGGAAGCATGTAATTTTGGTTTGCCCCATTGTTAGTGGCTAACTCAATCATTTAGTTAAGATTCTACACCGTGTAATTATTATTAATTCTCCTTGTTGTTAAGTCACTTGTGGAGAGATATCTGAGTATCTAAGATACTCAGATACTTAGACCATCTAAGTATCCTACAACTTTACTCACTGATTTTAGCATTTATACATGGATTTTATTATACATGGATTCTAAAACTAAAATATTTTAGCTGAGTGAGGTAGCATATGCCTGTAGACCCAGCTTCTTGAGGCTAAAGCAGGAGGATCTGTTGAGCCCAGGAGTTCAAGGCCAGCCGGTGCAACATAGTGAGGCCCCTATCTCAAAAAAATCAAAATAAATAAAATAACATCTTTTAAGAATTCTCTTTTCAAAGCATTCTGATTATGTTGTTAGGTGTTCCTTCTTCCCATGCTGTACTCCATCTAGCCACTGCTTGCTCCTGTGTGGTCTGCTATGCACATAATCTGGGATGAACACATACAAAATCCAAGGTTATTACTTTGTCTCCATCCTTAAAGCTGAGACAGTACAAACAGGTCCTAGCTGCCAACAGGGTCTCACTATGCAGCCCTGGTTGGTCTTGAAGTTGCTACGTAGATCAGACTGGCATCAAAGTCATACTAAAACTCATGTGCCTCTGCCTCCTGCATGCTGTGACTACAGGGATGCACCGCCATGCCCGGCTTCCAGCTGCCCTTCTTGCTTTCTTTCCCTTAGACTCCTTTCCCTGTTCCTTAGTCCTTCCAAAAAAGGACGTTTATTTTCTCTAAGTGCCTCTAACCTCTGTTATTGCTTCTGTAGGGTGAGTCAGTTTTCCTTTTTCTTCTATCAAAGACTTATAATCAGAAAAAAAAAAAAAAAACCCCACTGGCAAGTATTATAGTAATGGTATAACGTAAATATGTATTAGAAATGATGTTTTTTTAAAATTTAAGGTTGTTCTAGTGAATCAAAGGCAATATAACTATAAAATAAAGCTCCTATTTTTCTTCTGGATCATAGTAGAAAAAAAACTAGAAAATTTGGGCATAGTTACAACTTTCTAGAGTGAGTACATTACCTTTATATCGGGCCAGGAGCTGCTTAAAATCTAACTGTTGATCTGGCACAGCATCTTTGACAGAATCCTGGTCCTGGACATGAAGGGACAGCCTCAGATCTTCCTCCACTTCTTCAAATGCAGTTCTGTTGCGTCTTGCTTTAAGCTTTTCCTTTGCAATCTGTTTCATAGAGCGCATATATGGGCTCCCATCCTGTAACACATATCTGAGGGAAACAAAGAGGTGTCTGTGGATGTAGCCCTGTTGGTGAGGAACAAAACTATTCACCTATTTTATATTCTCTATCAGTAGAATGTTCCTTTGTTTCTGCCCAACTCACATGTTATCTGCCCAGCAGCCCAGGATTCTGCTGGCTTTGTCCTTTTTCTGGTTGGGACCACATTTCAACCAGAATGAAGGGAATGAATGAATGCCTTTGGCTCTGTCTAGGAGATCAGATAAGAATTTTGAAAAGTTCTACCCAGTACAAAAGGCATAGACATTCAGAAAACACCTGAGCTGCAGTGTGTCACGCCTCCCCATTTTAATTTCTTCTTTGAAACACTTATCTACTCCCTAAAGTCCCAGCTATAATTCTAAGGCAGCTAATTCCACCTTGTTGCCACAAAATTTAGACCTCAAGTCCCAGTTCTTGGCTAACCATGTCTAAAAGACCACCTTCAAAACATTTCGAAGCTTGCACTAGACTTTAGAACCTGTTAGTGACAGTTCTAGTAGACATCATGGTAAAGAGGAAAATGACTAGAACTGAACCCCAAAGCTCTGGCTTTGAGTTCTATGTTTGCCACTAAACCATCGTGCCATAAAGCTCCTCTGAATCAATCTCAAAGGCATTATTTTCTCATCATTTGGCAGAACTGATTTATAGAACTGATTTAAAACTATTTTTCCCAGAGGTCTAAAGATTTCTCAGAGGCCCTGCAAAAGTAAGGGTTAGTACAGGGAACAAATGGGGTTTGTCTTTTCCATCTACCTTGGTTATTCAGGTAATTCCCCTTTTAATTCTCTTTAAAAGAAATTTAAAATTCATATTCATTCATTCATTCATTCATTCATTCATTCATTGGGGGAGGCTGTGTGCAGAAATTTAAAATTCATATTCATTCATTCATTCATTCATTCATTCATTCATTCATTCATTCATTGGGGGAGGCTGTGTGTCACAGTCCTCTTTGTGGAGGCCAGAGAACAACTTAAGAGAATCTTCTACCATGTAGGTCCTGAGTTTTGAATTCAGGTCATCAGGCCATCAGGCTTGGCCAATGGGCACCTAACCTAAGCCACCTCACTGGCCCTAGTTCTTGATTCTTCATGGTTTCCTACAAGACTGTATTTCAGAAAGTGTACCATGGTTTAAAAAAAAGTTCTAAAACTCCAGGATTCTATAATTTTTGGCTTTCTCCAGCCCCTTCCCTTTAACAAATTCCATATGCTTTTTTTATATTCAACATTCATTTGCTAACATTTACCAAATGTCAATTTTATGCAGGGGCAAAGTTGGTGGGATGTGGGAATGAAGAGTCAAGAAACTTTCAAACTAGTAAGAATAGACCAAAACAACTCATAATTCTGCAAGACAGATGGAGGAAATACCATGAGAAGTCTATAATAACAAAAGTACCCTAGGATTGACCAGTCATGGTGGCACACACCTTTGATCCCAGCACTCAGGAGGCAGAGGTGGGCGGCTCTCTGTGAGTTGAAGGCCAGCCTGGTCTACATAGTGAGTTCCAGGAAAGTTGGGGGCTACAGAGAGGTCCTGTCTCAAAAAGACCGAAAGAAAGGAAAAAAAAAAAAAAAAAAGTACCATAGGACCTCTAAGAAAAAGTGATGAATTTATAGTAGAAGGAAATTTCATCAAGATGGCATTCAAGGTGGTGATTAAAGAATGACTGGGGGATTGGAGAGATGGCTCAGCATTAAGAACACCGACTGCTCTTGCAGAGTACTTGGGTTTGGTTCCCAGCACCCACATGGTGACTAACAACCATCCCTAACTCCAGTTCCAGGGGCTCCAATGCCCTCTTCTGACCTCTGCAGGCATTGCACGACATGGGTACACTTATATACATGCAGGTAAAATACTCATACACATAAAATTAAAAAGAATGACTGGGTAAGAAAGCGGCTGAGACAGGGTAGTGGGATGGTGTGGGGGGGGAGCACTAGACAGGTGGCTCAGTAGTTAAGAACAAGTACTGCTTTTCCAGAGGACTAGAGTTCAGTTCTCAGCACCCACATCGGACATCTCAGAACCATGTGTAACGCAAGCTCCAGGGGCTCTCAAGCCTTGTTCTAGCCTCTGCAGGCACCCCTACACATGTGGCATACATTCACACACACACATGCACATAAATAAAACAAATTAGAAAAAAGAAAGATGGAGAAAGGAATAAAGCATAAAGATGCAACCGTATGATGATCTGAGAAGTAAGCAAGCAATCCATGTTGTTAAAGCTCAAATAGGAAGGGATAGAGAGTAGGAAGGGAGGTTGAATGCAGGCTGAGGCCACCTGATGTGGGCCTGGAACATCTGCAGAGTGTGGGGAACAGGGAGTCCATGAAAGCTCTGAAGATGAGGTGGGGCATAACTCATTCTTTCTTTATTTTTATTTTTTGGTCTTTTTGAAACAGGGTCTCCCTATAGCCCCAGCTGGCCTGGAACTCACTATGTAGACCAGGCTGGCCTCGAACTCACAGAGATCCACATGCCTCTGCCTCCTGAGTGCTGGTATTAAAGGCATGTGCCACCATACCTGGCTTATTCTATGTTTAAAGATAATGCTGGAGGCAGTGCATTAGAAAAAGTAACAAAAGCTGGGTGTGGTGGTGCATGCCTTTAGTCCCAGCAGAGGCAGGCAGATCTCTGTGAATTCAAGGCCAGCCTGGTCTACACAGTGAGTTCAGGTCAGCTAGGACTATAGGGAGACCCTGTCTCAAAAAGACGAAAAAAAAAAAAAAAAAAAAAAGAAAAAGAAAAAAAAAGTAACAAAATAAAGAGAGACAAAGTTCTGAAAGATCACATCCCTAGAAACTCATTCAGTGGGAGGAGGCCAAGACCTAGAGAAAAGCAGCAAGCTCCTTACGCATGCTTGGCACACACTGAATCTTGGTAGCCTCAGGTTTGGGGTTTCCAGCTTAAGAACATTATACCATCAAATAAACATGGACTAGACAGACCTTTTTAGGGACAGAAAGAGCAGGAAAGAGAAAACTTCTGAACTCTGTTTAAGGTGGCAGACATCAGGGGTATTAATCCTAGAGTTTAGTAGTTAGTAATAAAGATACCAATCTAAAATTTTTGTAACAGAAGTGACATGAAATCCTGTGAGTCTGAGACAACCAACAGGGAGTTCAATAGTGAGAAGAAACGTGGCAAATGTGACGGTTTGAATGAAAATGTCCCCCATAGGCTCCAAGTATTTGGACATTTTGTTCCGGGATGATGGCGCTGTTTTGGGAGGTTTTAGAAGGTGTGGCTATCCTGGAGGAAGCATGTCACTGGGGGTGGGTTTAGAGAGTTCTTAAGCCTTGCAGGATCTCTAGTTGCTTTTTGCTTCCTGTGCCTGTGTGATATGAGAGCTTAGCTTCTGCTGCTCCTGATCCAGCCACCTCCCGCCACCACGCCTCCCTGCCATGATGGACTGTAATTCCACTGGAACCGTAAGCTCAAATAAACTCTCCCTTCTACAAATTGCTTTGGTCACTGCTTCTATCACAGCAACAGAAAAGTGACTAATACAGTAACTGGTACCAGAGAGTGGGCTGTTGGCTGTGAAGAACCTGACCATGTGGGATTTTGAAGAAATGTGCAAGACTTTGGAAGGTTGGGCTAGAAAAGCAGTTGACTGCTGTAAGCAGAGCTTAACAGGCCATTCTAGTAGGCACCTGGAAGAAAGTAGTGCTGAGAACAATGTAGTTTCAGAGGGAAATAAGGACTTATGTAGCACTTGGGATATTTTGGGAAAGAGTCTGGATGGAGTCTGCCTTAGACCAAAAAGCTTGCCTGAGGCTAAGGTGAAAAGTAAGGGACTAATTTCTCTGGTGGAAGAAATTTCAAGACAGCCTAATGCAGAAATGGTGGTGTGGCTATTAATGGTGAATATTATACAGATTTACAGTGAAAAAGAGCAAATGGGGCAGAAAGAAACACAAAATGTACAGGATGGATTGAAAAAGAGCACTATGAAGATTAATGTTGGAGCCCTGGCATGTGATGGAGAGGATTCTATTGATAAGGAGATTAAAGTGATTAAGGGGGGCCCTAGAGATTCGGACTTAAACAAAGGAGAGAATGCCATCAGGGCAATACCACACCCAGTTAAGCCTTGAACTTGTGAAAGCAAAATGCTGCAGGGACTACTGAAGAGAAAACCTTCGAAAATGGACAAAGCAGGCTGGAGTCCACCCCAAACTTGCAGTCAAACTTGGCAGTGTCGTTCACCTGATGCTGGCTTTAGAGGCATGAAAATCGAAGAGTGAAGGGGTCATCAATTCTTCCCCCGTGGTTTCAGAGAGCCTCACAGACCAGGCAGCATAGAGATGGCCCTAATAGGCCACTGCGTGAAGCTGTGAAGGTGAAGCCTGGTTGGCAATGGAGACACTGAAAAGACGTTCGTGATGCCCAAGCTGTGAGGCATCTGCCAAGAAGACCTGCATACTGGGAGTGGTACCAGCCCAAGAGAGAGATGTGTGTTGCACACAGCAAACATAGAGAGGCTGAGCCGTCTAAGCCCTTTGGAAGTAAAGTCCCAGAAGTTGGACGTCAAGCTCCTGGATTGTGTTTGCCCTACTGGTTTTCGACTGGTATTTCCTTACTATGCCTCCAGTCCTCCCTTTTGGAATGGTAATGTGTATTCAGTTCCACTGTATGTTGGGAGTATGTAATTTGTCTTTTGATTTTACAGGGGCTTACAGTTAAGATATTTACCTGAGTCTCAGAAGAGACTGGACTTTTGAATAGTATTGAAACTGATAATGACTATGGGGACTTTTAAGGTTGGACTAAATGCATTTTGCATTTTATATGATCATGAGCCTATGGGGGCCAGAGGGTGGAATACGATGGTTTGAATGAAAACATCCCCCATAGGCTCCAAGTGTTTGGACATTTTGTCCCCAGATGGTGGCGCTGTTTTGGGAGGTTTTAGAAGGTATGGTTATCCTGGAGGAAGCACATCACTGGGGGTGGGCTTAGAGTTCTTCAGTCTTGCAGGATCTCCAGTTGCTCTTTTTGCTTCCTGTGCCTCCGTGATGATGTGAGAACTTCGTTTCTGCTGCTCCTGCTCCAGCCACCTCCAAGCCACCATGCCTCCCTGCCATGACAGACTGTAATTGCACTGGAACACTAAGCTCAAATAAACCCTTCTATAAATTGCTTTGGTCAGTTTTTCTATCACAGCAATAGAAAACTGACTAATACTACAAGGACCAAATCTTGTGCAGTTCCCATAGCCAAAAAGTAGGAGAGAAATCTGTATACAATGGACACTACCATTTTTTACCCAGTTCTGGAACCATATAGACATCTTGAAAACATGTTTTTTTATTGTGAGCATATGGATGCATGTGTCACGTGCAAGTTATAGCACATATGTGAAGGTCTGGAGACAACTTGTGGGAGTTGATTCTCTCTTTCCGTCATGTGGGCTCAGGGATCAAACTCAAGTCATCAAGCTTGGCAGCAAGTGCCTTTACCAGCTGAGCTATTTCTCAGGCCCCCAACAGATATCTTAATACTCAGCCTATATTGCAAACTTCCGAGAGAAGGATAATAAAAGCGAACATTTACAACATGTTACCATTTCAGGCATAGCTCAGAGCACTTTCAATGATTAATTCCTCAATCAGTCCTCATGATCCAGTAAAGGAGCTAATATGGATACACACATTTTACACACGAGGAAACTGAGATGCAGAGAGGTTAAGCTACTTCTCAGTTATAGTCAGTAAACAGAGGACTTAATCAACACTAGGAATTTGCTTGCTGAAAGGAAAAGCAAAATGCTCAGGTGGAAAAGTTAAAGGATGACTAAAGATGATTAAAAAAGAAAGGTTTCTATCCTGACACACTGAAGATATGAAATCGCTGTATTTTCAAACATTTTTGCTGAACATTAACATTTTCCTTACCTTGTCACAGCAATTGCATCTTCCAAAAAAAACTGATCAACAGGAAACGTACGACCTAGAGAAACCAGAAAATAGAGACGCCTCAGAACTCTCATAAAGCTAGCTTGAAATTGTGTGTGTGTGTGTGTCTTGTATGTCTGTGTGCACTATATATCTTTAAAAAATACACTATATATCTTAAAACAGTACTTGGGAGGCTGGAGAGATGGCTCAGTGGTTAAAAGCACTGGCTGCGTTCCAACCTCCATCAGTGTAGCGGCTCTGATCATCTCAGCAGACACTCAGAGAGTGCCAAGTTCTGGCCTCCCTCTGGCAGAGGGCCTGAGAAACACAGGGGACTGCCTGAGAGCCCCCGGATCCTGCCTCCACATGGTGGGACCCACCAGCTCCTCCTTCCAGCTGTTTCTAGGACACCTCTCAGTTCCTGCTGAAAAAAGCTCTGTACTTTCGTGCCTCCAGACCTCTTGCCACTGCCTGGTGTGTAATTTCACCTCTCCTCCTTTCTGCCTTTCCCTACCTGTTCCGTGTGCATGGCCTGAAAACTGGCTTTACTCCTGCTTCTCATTTCCTCCTGCAGTGCCCTCTTATCCCACAGGCAGAGTTAATTTGCTCCTCACCTGCGTTCTCGAGGCACCATGTATTTATTCCCTTATCTATCACATCATGTTATGGTTATGTCACTTAAATGTCTATACAGTTGCCTTTTGTTTGTTTTACTTAATATTATTTTTATGTGTATGAGTATATTGTCTGCATGTATATGAGTGCACCTCTGTCATGCAATGCCGCAGAGGTCAGAAGAAGGCTTCAGATTCCCCTGGAACTGGAGTTAAGGATGGTTTGTAGCTGACATGTGGGTGCTGGGAATTGAACTCGGGTTCTCTGCAAGAGCAGTCAGTGCTCTTAACTGCTGAGCCATCTCTCCCTTTTTTAAATTTTTAAAAATGCATTTATTAATACAGTCTGATACCAAACCAGTATGGAGCAAATATATACTTTGTTGAATAAAGTTCTATAAAAAAAAATAAACAAGTAAAAATACTGAAAAAAAAAAAAAAGCACTGGCTGTTCTTGCAGAGGATTTGGGTTCAATTCCCAGCACCCACTTGGCAGCTAGTGTGCATCTTAAGTTCATTTCCAGAGGATCCCATGTCTTCTGGCCTTCGCAGGCATCACACACACATATGGTACACTTACATGCATGCAGGCAAAACACTTATACACATAAAATAAAAATAAGGATTTATTAAAAACTACAATATTGGCATAATAAAGTACCATTTGTTCTGTGTTCTTAAAAGTACTTTTGCTTGGCACAGTGGAGCACACCTTTAATTGCAGCAACTGGGAGGCAGAGGCAGGTGGATGTCTGTGGAGACTGAGGCTAGCCTGTCTCAACAAAACAAAACAAAAGTATTCTTAAAAAGTTTTGATGACAAGCCAGGCATAGTGGCGCACACATTTAATCCCAGCACTTGGGAGGCAGAGGCAGGTGGATCTCTGTGAGTTCAAGGCCAGCCTGGTCTACACAGTGAGTTCCAGGACAGCTGGGGCTACAGGGAGACCCTGTCTCAAAAAGACCAAAAAAAAAAAAAAGTTTTGATGACAAACTGGAAGGAGTAACTTCTAGTTAGTAGAGAGAATAGATGCATACATATAGGAAAAGAAATAATTTAAAAAAAATTTATTATTTTAATTTTATGTGTATGCATGTATTGCCTGCATGTAGGTGTGTAGGTGAGTGCACCGGTGTCATGCAATGCCCGCAGAGGACAGAAGAGGCTGTCAGATCCCCTAGAACTGGAGTTACAGATAATTGTTAGCTGCCATATGGATGCTGGGATTTGAACCTGGGTCTTCTGCAAGAACATCCAGTGTTCTTAACTGATGAGCCATCTCTCCAGACCCCAAAATGATAATTTCTTGATGGGACTTTAAAAAATTACATGTGAGCCGGGCGTCGTTGCGCACACCTTTAATCCCAGCACTTGGGAGGCAGAGGCAGGTGGATCTCGGTGAGTTCAAGGCCAGTCTGGTTTACATAGCAAGTTCCAGGTCTGCTGGGGCTACAGGGAGACCCTGTCTCAAAAAACCAAAATGTTATGTGTATATGTGTGTCTCTGTGTGGGTATATGCATGGGGGTACAGGTCCCTGCAGAGGTCAGAGGCATCAGATCTGCTGGAATTGGAGTTACAGGCGGTTGTGAATTGCCCAACATGTGTGCTGCAAACTGAATTTGGGTCCTCTACAAGGGTAGTATGCACTTTTAATGGGTGAGCCAATGTTCTAGCCCCCTGGACTTTTTTTTTTTAACCCACCTTTTCTACTTCTTTCTATTCCCTATGATTTAAGTGCTCAACACTTGTGTTCCAGGTCAAGCATATACTTTCTTCTTTACATCTATTGCCATCATCCTCCTAATCTGAACACAGTGCTATCACTTTTCAGTCAGTGTTTCCAAACTGTTCCTTTGGTAATCAATCAACTGCAGGATAGGCCCAAGCCTAGAGTGGTGGTTGTCCCACGATGAGGCTGTGAAAGCACCCAAAGAAAAGACTACTGAACTTCTTCTTCTCAGAATGAACCAATATCTGGAATTTAACATAATCTAGGAATGACTGAATATGCAATAAATAGGCATATCTTCCCTCCTTATGACACAGTTTTCCTTGAAACACATTTGATGTTCAACACAGTGGACTGCCAGAAATCCTAAGAACCAAATCTCATACAAAATTCAAATCTGGCAAGTGGATATATTACCTACTGATCAATTGCATTACACAGTGATTGTAAACCAATCACTTCTGTTCTAGAAAGGCATAATATCTATTAATTTATGTTTCAAGTGAATTTTAAAATTGTCATATTTGTATATTAGAATGATACAATTTAATGATGTATTTTAATTACCTGGTATGGTAATAACTGGGCAGGAATTGAAATATTCTGAGAACAGCTCAGCATCTAAGGTTGCACTCATTAGGATGACTTGAAGAGTTGGTCTCTGCTGCACAATGTCCTTCAAAACTAGCAGTAAGAAGTCACTAGAGAAAATCAAACCACCAAGAATCAAACAAACTCAATATATGAAAATCGGTAACTTTTGATGCATTTGGAGCAAGGCATATGTAAGACTTAGGTGATATGCTAGGTTCCTGGTTGGGAGTACTTCACAATTACAAAAACATCATTTTTCTCTCAAAACAACTAAATTTAGTGGAATATCAATCAAAATACAAAGAGGATTTATCATTAAATTTGATCATTCTATTTCTTGATATCTAGAGGTACACAAAAGGCACATAGAAAGATTTTCATTATAGCATTGCTTGTAACAGAAAAAGATCAGTAACTATCTAAATGTCCATCAACCAGGAAACAGTAAACTACAATATCCAGTCTATACAACAGCATACAGCAGAAGAAAATGGGTAAGTCAGAGGCCTAGAGGATGACATAAAAAATCTGTAAGCCTATTGTTAGTGAAAACCAATAATAAAACCCTCAGTGAGGGGCTAGAGAGATGGGTCAGCGGTTAAGAGCACTGACTGCTCTTGCAGAGGACCCGGGTTTGA